GGGGATGGGGAATCAGGGATGGCAAGACAAAGGGCAAGGTATGCAGGACGTAAGAATTGGAAAATTATTTGCTGAGAACATGTATGTGGATGTGCTTGATTGAGCCAATGCGCAGTGTATTTTGGATGGAAAATTCATTTGTGTGTTGTGATGGTGTAAAGTGAATTAATAAAAAAAAAAAAAAGAATCCAGCAGGCACATCTACCCAAATTGTATGCTAACGAAGAATGCATTCCTTATGCTGCAGTATGAGACAGCAAAGAACCTGCAGAGCCTACTTTTCTAGAACTTTCTCTATGACCTTTTCAAGAAACAAATGATCCAGCTTCTGAGGACAGAGAGGCCTGCCCATCATGAAAAGAGAAGTTGCCCTTCATCATTTTCTTCCCAAGATGGCAATGTAAGACAAACAAGGAACGGGTGTCCCCTCTCACTGGCCCAAGACCTTTTCTACAACTTTCTCTAAAAAATAAAGGACCTGGGGACCAGCAGTTAGCATAGTGGCTATGTCACTGAGCTCCCATGTAGTCTACCACGGTTCAAGTCCTGAACCTGGTGGCTTAAACTCATGCTGGGCGCGTGTGCATGCGTGTCCAAGATCCCAAGAATAAAATGGAGGAGAAGGGATTGCAGCATGGCCATCCCCCTGGGGGGTGATTTCTTGCTTTCTGTCTCTGTCTCTCTGGTGAGTGCATGTGCCCTGTAGTAAAAACCTCTCCAAAAAAAATAAATAAATAAATAAAAAGTAAAGAACCTAGCCTTCTAAGACAGAGGAGTCTACCAGTTGTGGGAGGAGCAGACTCTTTTCCCTTTTTTCCTATTTTTCTGTTTTTTCATTTTTGTCATCCCATATGGTTGTGAAACAGACAAAGAGTGGGTATCCTCTCTAAAGAGAGGATCATTCATGTGTCTGCCTGGCCCCACCCCTCACAGGGACCTTAGGGATTCTCTTAGCTTTGATAACAAGCTATAAACCCACTGTCAGATCGAACACACAGGGAAGGTCAGTGACGCCCCAGCGTCGATTTTATCTTATGGCTGTATAAGGCCTCAACAGAAACACAGGTTGGGGCCCACTCAGAATCACTAGCCAAAGCCGTGGAGCCACAAACACCCTCACTCACTCAAGCATTCACCATTTATTCTAGAGGTATAACATTCTCCCTCCTCACAGTGTACTCTTTTTTCAATGAGAATAAAGGTTGAAGAAAAAGAGAAACAAAGTGAAGATCAAAGAGGGTCTCCCTACCCGATACTGAAATAGGGGGGAAAACAAGAGTGGCAGGTGGGCCCTGGACCTGGACCAGGAGACACTTCCAGTGACCAACATGCTCTCAATCACCCCCAGGAATTCTAGTGCCAGGAATAAGTCTACTCGTCTGAGACTACCCATCTGAGACTGAGTGATGCCATTCCTTGCAGGGATAGAACAAAAGAGGGCCCTAAAGAGAGAAGATAACTAAAGAGCCCAGAAAAGAGTCCCCCATCAGATGCTGAAATAGGGAGAGAAATAGGAGTGGCAGGTGAACACTGAACCACACCCAGGGGGGTGCTTCCAGCATCAAACACTCTCTCGGTCAGTCCCAGGAATTTTAGTCCCAGGAATAGGTCTATTCATCTGAGACTACCCATCTGAGATTGAGCAATGCCACTCCTTGAAACTGCTAGGCTTCAACCTAAGGAGGGACTTGAACCCCCAATCTAACAACCCAGATTGTTGGGTACAATCCAAGGAAGGACTTGAGGGGAGTGCTTCCAGCATCAAACACTCTCTCGGTCAGTCCCAGGAATTTTAGTCCCAGGAATAGGTCTATTCATCTGAGACTACCCATCTGAGATTGAGCAATGCCACTCCTTGAAACTGCTAGGCTTCAACCTAAGGAGGGACTTGAACCCCCAATCTAACAACCCAGATTGTTGGGTACAATCCAAGGAAGGACTTGAACCCCCGATCCAGCAACCTAGACTGTCAGGCATATATCAGCCTGCTTCTGATTCCAGCAACATCTTGGGGAATCTGAGTAGGGCCCATACCACCATGTCCAGTGCACCCTGGACTCATCGCTAGGCTTTTACCTAAGGAGGGACTCAAACCCCCAATCCACCAATCCAGATTTCCAGGACATCTAGACATAGTCAAATTTATTGGAGTTTTATTGATTAAGCCGGCAGCATATGGGGAGACTCATGTTTCTCAAAAACACCGCAGCCCTGAGTGTAGGGAGAAGGGGGCTTATGAAGGCAAAAAGCCACATTTGGGTTGACGTGGCAGGAGCAGTAATCATTGAGAAAGGGGAGGTGACAATGGGAAGGAAGGGAGATTTCTATTCCTAAGCAGTTACAGAAGCCAAATCAAGCAATATTCACCACAAACAGGTGACCGGTCCAAAAGAAAAGCCACAGACAGGACAGGTTCAAAACAGGTAGAAAGTTGTCTCCAGAGGACTTTTCAGACTCTTCAAAAATTGTTTGGGAGTAGTGGCATCTCTCGAGCCCTGGCAATGGTCAAATGACCTGAATGGGATCTCCAGGGCCCTGAGGTAAATCAGGGGGCACCCTTCAGAGAGTATCGCAGGTTTCTGGCTGCCGCCTGGGCAAGCCCATCTTCCTAAGGTCTGATGCCTCACTCAAATACCGGTATGTACTGATCTCTCTGGGGCCTCCAAATGTTATAGTCTAATCAGCGAAAAATAAGAGGACATCTAGACATAGCCAAATTTATTGGAGTTTTATTGATTAAGCTGGCAGCATATTAGGAGACTCATGTATCTCAAAAACCCCGCAGCCCTGAGTGTAGGATGAAGGGGGCTTATGAAGGCAAAAAGCCACATTTGGGTTGACGTGGCAGGAGCAGTAATAATTGAGAAAGGGGAGGTGACAATGGGAAGGAAGGGAGATTTCTATTCCTAAGCAGTTACAGAAGCCAAATCAAGCAGGTTAATTATTCCTAAGGGTATGTTCCAACCCTATCTAAACACAATGGAATCTTAATGACCTTTATGATTAGGGCAAGGGGTTTGGTGATTGATTATTATATCACTAAGTAATATCTTAAGGTAGAGGTTTTGGCTTATTTAGCAAAGACAGTATTTTGGGTTATTTAGCAAACACAGTAGGAATGTTAATCACTCTGTTTACTCTAGGCAAAAGCAGAAAGCTAGTTTCTAATATAGAGAGGAGTTCAAAATGGAGGTGCTCCTGGTTCACTGCTTCAGAGGGAGAAATTGGGAGTGACTAATAGGCATGAGGTTTCTTCTGGGGGCTGACAGAAATGCTCTGGAGTCAGATAGTGGTGAGCACAAAGTGCAGCACTGTGACTATACCAACAACCACTGAATCTTACACTTTAAAAAGAAAACAAAATGCAATTTTTGTTTGTTTGTTTCTAGAGATTTTTTTTTTTTTTGCTATAAGGTGCATGTGTTCACCAAACAGAGACAGAGAGACAGAAAGTGAGAAATCACCCCCTAGTGGGGTTGGCCACACCACAATCCCTTCTCCTCCATTCTTCTCTTGGGATCTTGTGCACACGTACACACACACACACACACACACACACACACACGTGTCTGGCATGAGTTTCAAGCCGCAGGGTCTGGGACTTGAACCGCAGTCAACTACATGGAGTCCAGCGACTTAACCATTACACCATCTGCTGGTTCGTTTTGTAAGTTTTGTCCCAATAAATATTTGGACAAAAATCCTTCCCCCAGAATAAGTAGTATAAGTGCCAAAAAGACAAAAGCTATCCCTTCTGTGACCTAGCCACAAAAGTCACAAAGCCAGGTTACGTAAGGCACTGTACAGAGGAAGCCAGATACCATATGTCCAACTAGGGTTTAAGTCCCAATCCCATGGGCTTGAAAAACATGCTGGTTAGGCCAGCTCTGTGGCCTGGTAATTACAGTAACCAGATCCTACATGGCCAACAGTGTGGCCCGAGTCCCGGACTTGGCAGCTTGAGAAACACACTGGGTACATGGGTGCATGGGAGCTCAAACTTCTGAAAGGAGGGCAAGAGAGAGGAGAAGGGACTGTGGTGTAACTATTCCCTATATGGATTGCTTTCTCCTCTCCCTCTCTCTGTCTCTTTCTTGCTCTAACAAGTGCATACACCCTGTAGCCAAAAAAAGAAAGAAAACACCGTGAACAAGTGCACACCCAGGATCATGATGAATTGGAAGAAAAGGGATTGCAGTGTGACCAGGCCCTAAGTATGGCCCACATTCATAGTTAGGCTTTACATTTATTCCATCACTTCAGTTTCACAATACAGAGAAAGTGTTAGTCTTCCACGTGCAGATGATGGAGACTCAGATTAAATACATTTCTCAAGGTCACAGGCCAACAGGTGTCAGAGCTCAGATTTAAATCTAGAACCACGACTCCCTAACCTGTGCTCTTAACTGCCATCAGTGGTGGTTCTTAACAAGATAGCCCATTGGTGAAACTAAAGATGCCCCTCCCCCAACCTGTTAAATCATCAGTCCTGGGGCTGTGGTCCCGGACACTTAAACATTTTTAAGCTCTCTAGGTATTTCTGAAGTGAACTGTGGGTTCAGAACTGACCCTCTGTGTCTGATGGTTTTTAATTAACATGGGCAACTGACTCCAGCTGGATAAGTGCCTTGAGGGCAGGGCTCTGCCCCTCCCTCAAGTTTCTTTGTATATGTCATGGTGACAACACAATGCCTGCACAAATACGATTGGATGAAAGGTTGAGAGCAACTGCCACCCAGAATGTCAGTTGCCACGGGGTTCCTGAGGCATCCACAGTAGGTGCCTGGGAGCTGGCTAGCCAGGTGGCTCCAGTGGGCAGGAGGTTCACTGGGGCCCATCTGGTGGGCAGCCCCTGTTGCCACCTGGGGATCTCGGTTCAGCCCAGAGTAAAGAGGTATAGGGACATAACGTTCTTTCTAAGCTTTCTTTCCCAGGTTTAAACTTAGGGCCCAACTCAGGGCCTAGAATAGAGGCTTGTGGCTGTTGGTCCAACAGCTATCATGGATCACCGAGGCCGACGAGGCATAGGCCTGAACCGAATCCCCGGGACTCAGTTTCGCATTCCCCGGGCCCCACTGCCCTTTCATGTGGAACAAGAAGCCAGAGAAGGAGAAGAATGGGAGAGAGAGCTACCTCGTCAAAGACCTCCTGTCTATGGGCCCCCAGAAACTGAAGAGCTCCAAGACAATGTTATGGGTAAGAGCATGTTCTCGCTCCCTTGATAGAAGTGGGCTGGCTTAATCTCTTTCATCCTTTGCCCACAGGAAGCAGGGCCAGGATGTAGAAAAATGAGCATATTATGGGCAGAACTAACGTGAGAGAGTTTAGAAAGGGCAAATTTTTTACTTGCCACAAAGGGTTGTCATGAGGCTATAAGATATCAAAACAACTTGAAACTGAGATAGGCTGTTTGGAATATTACATGTCATTTATAAAATCAAGTGTTCACAATATCAAATGTTTACGATGTGCCAAGTTCTTTGGGAAACAAAGATGAATTAGACCTTGATTTTGGCCCCAAAACTCTGACACCATAATAGAGGAAAGACAAACTATTAAGATAGTTTCTGTGGAATTCATAAGGATGACAGGAACTCACAGTAAGACAGAGGGAACCCTGAGGGAACCAAGGCTCCTGCGGGCTCCTGTCTTTCAGGTGTGTGCCATGTCTCTCCCCCCATTTTCACTTCTCATCCTAACTGTGGAGGTTGGGGCTAACTGTAAGGTGCCAGGAAAGAAAGTTTCCTGGGAACTATTCAAGTCCTGATTTTTTTTTTTAAATACACATCTCCAGACTGGCTTAAATCGCCAAATTGCCCATTTGCTCTATAATGCCTTTCTTGGCAGAAGAGAAGAAATGGTCTAGAGATAATTGCTTTTAGACCTTTCTTCTCCAAGTTTTCCCAGGACTGAAAAGGGCAAAGGGAGTCATGGCACAGTTCACACAGACCACTGTAAAAAGAAAGAAACGCCTGTTGGTTCAGATGCAGAAAGTTTCTGCATTGGGGAAGAGGGTTCATGACGAGGAGGCTTTGTGGAAGGACAAGAGGGTATAACAGCGCTGAGCGTGGGAAGAGGAAGGCTGGTCACCTCAGTGGCTGGAAGCCTGTCACTAGCGAAGTTGTGTGAAGGGAGAAGTGTGTTGCAATGAGAGGGTCTAAATGCTGAGAGCGACAGCGGCCAAGCCAGAGGCGGAAGGCAAGGCTGGAGGATCCTGGGTGGGAGGCTCCAGGCCTGTCAAAGGGTGAGAAGTGACAAGCCAGTGAAGAAGGCAGCTTTGCGGAAAAGCGGGGCCTAGATGGATGACCAGGGCCTAAAACATTGTTGAGGGTGTCAGGAGGAGAAGGCAGGTGAGCAACAGGGGAAAAAGTTACAGGTGACCCCCACAAAGAGGTCTTCAGTGAGCAGACTGCGCTTAACTCCACTGCGCAGGCGCAAACACCAAGTGGGCAGGACTGTGAAGCCTTGGGAGGGAGGGGGAGGGAGGG